TGGATTTGAATTTGTGGGGTTTTCGAGAGAACTTGGGTTTTCAGGTTGATTGGAGGGATACCATAGGATGTAGTCTTTTGAGTTAGTATGAGATGATAGTCGGTTTATCGGTAGCCCTTGGGGTTGCATGTTTCAAGTTCCCCTTTGCTCTCGTTTTGTCCTAGCTTGCCTCTGATGTCTGAGAATATCATCATGGGTTGTCACTCGGCCCCCTAAAGGCTTTAGATCCTCGGAGTTTGTGTTTGAAACTGGTCTACATAGATTTTGCACAGCGCACTGGATGTGAGTGGTTATTTATCATATATTGAAGCCTAGCTCGGACCGGACCGGTTTGCCTTAGCTACTGTTTCTCAATGCTACCAGGTGTTGGGCATTGATGTGTGTGGCTGCACACAGAATATATCTCGTTAGTAGCCAGCTAACTACAAAAGAACTTCGGGGAATTCGCACATACTATTGATTACAGACAACTACGTACCCTAGTTGGAGTTTATTAGTTTTACCCACGAGCTGTGGAACCGGATATCTGTTTGCGGGGAATGATGACCCCAGTTTGGTTGTGCCAGTTTTTTATGTTCCTTTTATTGCATTTCGGGCCGCACCCCAACCTCGTTATGGAGCCCCTGTTGCATATGTTCCGGGATAGTTTGTGTATGGCATAACCGGAAGACAAAAGTGATTTTCTATTGTCAGATTTTTCCTACCACCGGATCGGGGTATGGCACCTATAATAGTATAAATTTCGAGCATTGAAAATCATCTACCTCCTGGGTAACATACCGTCGCATGATGAGGATCCGCAACATTTTGATCAAGTTATGTGAGGGCGTGGTGAATGGAGGGCGGGATCTAGATCTGATAGCGCCCGGGGGTACTTATAAAGTGGTGGTCTGGTAGGGCCCTGTTTGGCAAAAATGGAGCCATTTCATTTCCCTATACAAAGTGACTATTTCCTTCCATTTCAAAATTTTGGATCGTAACTGGTGTGGCAAATCAGAAACCTATCGACCATTCCATTCTGATAACCAAATAGAACCATTTCAAATAGAACTGTTCTGCCCCAAACCCTAATATGTGAAATTTTTTCGTATTGGATTCTGTAGAAAATAGTTTTAGAAATTGTATAATAGGGGTGCTGTTATGTGAAAAACGTACTGATCCCAAAAAGCAAAAAATGATCCTCAATCCATATGAAACTTGTTTAGATTGTAGAGTACCCTGTCCTGGTTCTAGAAAATAATTACCTTGAAAAATGAGCTCTGAATAGGCTGTTTAAGTGAATAGTTTAAAATATCAGTTTTTTTTTTATTGCATTATTGCATAAATCGATAGAGGAGATTGAGATATTTGAAAAATATTTATTGTAGTATTTTGAGAGGAGGACTTAGTATTATAGCATGTTTTATAATTTTGTATGATATTCAAGAAATGCAACAACTATAAGAAAGCTATAATAATAATAATAATATTTAATTGTAATGTTTAATTGTAATGTTTAATTTTTAATTAACATTTTCTAATGTCTTTACCAATATTCTTTGTAGTGATAAATTTAATATCTTTCTATGATTATATTTTAAGGTCAGTTGGATCACTGGTTGGATATTAGGACTGCTTACTCAATCACTCCCAAGAGATATTTATGCAACAGATAATGAGACTTGTCATTGAAGTAATAGATGTTATTACTTGTGTTCTTTCAATATATTGATTGTCCTGTAGTTGTCAGCTGTTGCTTAAGAAAATAATCTTATTTTCTTAAGTACTCCAACAGCAACTATCACTCACGATGTTGTTGTAGCTTTTCCCATAAGGAAGATACATGAAGAATAAATATGAACTAGTATTCATAAAGATATATATTAGAAAATAACTTAGGTAGTTGTATAAAAATCTATCTTAAAGGCTAAACCCATCACTTTATATAGACCTTCCTAAAACCTGCTTACAAATCCAACTGTCATATAGATTGCAGCTGTGCCCCATATGACTACATAATCCTGTATTCTCATGACCTCTAAGTCGGTCATGTGTGTGAAATCCAAGTAAGCCTTATATGACTTACTCCTATCCAACTATTGATTTCAATATAATATAAAGATTATGACTTAAAGTCTAAGTCATGTGCAAAATCAATACAAACCTAAAACAGGTCATCTGTACAATAGTTGGCAGGTGGCCTGCTCTACCAGAGAGGAGGTGAGAGCTGAGAACTAAAGGAGGCTTTGAGGGTGTACCGAGGAAAGAAAAAAGTAACTGTTCTACCAAGTATATCGAGATACTGTCTGTCAAAGTAAGCCTTTTCCATCGTGGAATCAGGCAGTCTTTAAATACACAAATCTGTTCATGACTAGTATGAACGAAACTAATCAAAGGTATTAAGCGATATACTTTAGTATAACAACTTAAAGTATCAAAGCGATACTTAAAACAAAACCTAAAAAAAAACCAAGTATCAAACTATACTTAAAACAAACCAAATATCAAAGTGATACTTAAAACAAAACATAAAACAAAAACCAAGTATCAAAGCGATACTTAAAGCAAAACATAAAACAAAACCAAAACCAATAACTGAGTATCTGTACCAGTTATAGCTATTATACAATTTACTTGTAAAATTCATTTTCCCATTTTCTCAAGTTTTACCTGGTTGCTATGTAAACTTCAACCCCGAATAGCTCTCAACTATTGAAAATGCTAACATTACTTTTTTAGCATAACAACACCCATAGGATAATGTCATACATGAGAAATCCATTAAATTTTATTAATAGTTCATACTCAGTTTCCCTCCCACAAGCTATCCCACAATATACATTACCAATTTCGTACCACAATTGTACAACTCATACAAATTAGATTCATGTCAGTGGTATCTATTTATGAAAAAAAAAAAAAACCCTTACAGGTAAGGGATTGTGGGAAAATTTTTTCTTCTTAGGATATGTGCCCGTTTTGTGTAAATGGAGCCATTTCCATCCAAACAGACAGGTGGGAACCAATGGGAAGAAATGGAAGTATGACTATTTTAGGTCTCAAAAAGTTTTGAAATGGAACTATTTCTTATAGCTCTATTTTTGCCAAACTGGGCTTTAGAAAAAATAGTACGATGCTTTCATTGTATGATCTCGGCTAGTTAACTCGAGAACCTAACCTGGCTTATAGGGGTTTCAAATACAAACTCGCATTGACTGCCCTAGAAATGCACCCACAAACTCAAAAACATGTCCAACCTCAGCATAAGGTTCCTCCCCTCAACATTCGAGAACTGTAGCTTCTTCCACCTCTACCTTCTACATCGTTGATAAGGAAAACAAAGGAAACAAAGGAAGAAACAAAAATGACAGAAAAGATGCCAGAACTTTCCACAACCACCTCAACCTGCCCCACTCGTGTTGATTCTCACATATCAGGTATCACGGAAGCCTTCGAGCAATTACAAATAACCTCAAAGCAAATCCTGCACCACAACAAATTCACCGGGCTGCGCCGGGAAACCCCCACTAGCCCACCGGCCCCGGAAAACCTGGAAGTCTCACAAAACATTCCGCATCCAAAATCCCACTGTAACCGACCCGCTGGGTTGCACCTGGCAGTTTCCGTTCGGCTACCGAATTCGGGAGACCCGCCCGTCATGACATTTCCGCCCGAGGCAACAACGAAGTACAAGGCGCTCAAGGAGAAGCTGGAAGATGCAGTCAATACTCAGATCGAGCATTCCCGGGTGGGACAAGAGAAAGCGCTTAACGGAGATGAAGGTGATGGGGAATGGGTGGGGGAAGATTTATGTGAGGATGGATTTGATGGGAGCGCTGTCGCTCATGTGTCTGTTGAAATGGAAGGGGTAAAGGATGAGGGTTGGTTGTTGTTGGCTGGGAAATGCGGTGGGTGGAGTAGGATGGAGTGGGAATTGTTGGGGGAGTGGGAGGTGGACGACGAAATACTCAGTCGGGGATTGATGGAGGTGAAGGATTCTGTACATAGCATGATTGGAAATTAGACCGAGTTTCTCCAGCCCTTGAGCTTGGGTTATTTTTGCTTCTTTATGGTTAACCAACAAATATAGTAGGTGTTGGCTATTGTGGGGTTCCGGCTGTATTGGTGATTTCTGCCCGTATATTGGGTATTTGTTGGTTAACTGGGTCCCTATTTCTCTCTCCGGGGGTAATGGGATTTTGGTTGGAAAAATGGGCTGAATGTGCTATCTAGAAAACCCTTGAGATGTTTGGGGAAACAGCTTATTTCTCATCGACATGTGAGGTGGGAGTATTGTACATGGCACAATGTATAGATGTCGGAGTACTGTCGGCTTCCATAAACTAACATGTACCAAGCTTTACATCACAGAATCAAATGAAATATCATAGCTCTTGTAAATCTGCACCCAAATGTGACTTGCCTAAAAGGGGATTAGTGCCTCTCAACAAAACTCATATTAAAATTCGCCTCCAGTATTGTGGTTTCAAACTCAGAAATAGCCTGTAGCCACGCAACCAAACCCGTGAACGGAGGGTAGGTTGATTAGACGATTGCCGGTGTTATTGGTCTCTAGGAGCGCTGGTTTTTGCGTAACGTATATAGCCGCTGGGAATACCACAGGCTCAGTATCCCGATTGGGGGACCGTGACGCAACCCCAGATAGTGATAGAAACAGAGCGGCTCTGGGAGGTAAGGTGAGAAGATTTCATGGGGGAAGAGGTGAGTTGATTGTTGCTCAGTTAGTTCCACATAATTTAATTGGGAGATGCCGGGACGCAGAAAACGATGCTATCCAACACAGGTCATTGATATTGCAAAGGCCAATCAAATTTTCCCGGTAATTCTGTGGTGGACTAGGGGAGAGGTTGCGGTCATCACCTCTTTGAAGATTTTCATCAACCAATTCTTCAGATGTACGCATGCGTCCAGAGATGTGGTAATATTGTCTTTGCTGTTAGTTCCGGATTTGGTAGGGCTGAAGTTACATATTCTTATTTGACAGTAGCTTTGTCGGAAGTATGACCGCAAAGGAGGCACATGCCAGCTTAAAAATTCAGGTTCATCTTGGTTAGTCATATAATTAGGCGCATCCTAATTGATATTGTATCCTAGGGTAAGAAAGTGATCTGCGGAGCAAAGGGGTTGGATGTTAAGAACTGGGAGAAGACTTATATGTCCTGCCGGTAGTGTTATTGCATTCCGCTCGGAGGTGACCGAACTTATTCACAGGCTTACTACCCGTGATGTCAGACTCTGGTGAGCATTGATTGGGATTTATAACTTGGATCTTTTCAACCAACTGCCTGCGCTGTAGGGCTAAGCTAGGCAATTTTCTCAGTTGACAACGCCAAACGTCTTGCTGAGCTCAAGTGGCAATGTGGCTATATCATCAAACGCCGGAATGCCGATTTCTAAACGGCCTGGTTTGGTTGAATTCCAATGGGGAGGCCATGAATCTTGAATACGTCACCTATGCCGAGGTCATCTGTCGCATGGACTAGTTCAAGTACGTTAAGCATAAGTCCCGCTGTATTTATCCCTCTTTAAAACGGCTTGATGGGGTTTCATTGGACGTATTGAGGAACGCTTCACCCCCGTTGAGAGCCGGGTGTCGCTGCTTCGAGACTACTCCGACTCGGATGATCCTTTCATTACTACCGAAAAGATTCTAGCCATTACCCAGAGGCCAACTCTCAACTAATCAATGCACAAGATACGCAGCATTCCATTCTTCTATATTATTGGGGCGGCCAGAAGCCTGTTCCACTTGTTCCTTCACTTGACGAGCTTCAAAATATGGTTCAAGAGAGATTCCTTTGGTAATCCGAAGATCACAGCCTGTTGTTGGCCAGGATGTTCGAAGAACCTGCATTCTCCAAGGATCTGTGGCTGCCGAAAATGTATGATAGCGTAGAACTAAGGACTTCAAAAGCTTCAAAATTCTAAACCATAGGGCAAGCGCGCATAGTAAATGATCTATGATATATAGAGCAGAACCGGGGGCATGCAACCCCTTGTTCTTGGAAGGGCGCACAAAGTTATTCTTATTTTCTCCTGACCCAATCCTACCCCCCTAAAGGGAGCAAGTATTGGAAAAACGCCCCAGACCGTATGCAAACATCCTCCTCGAAAAGCACGGAGCTTAAAACCTCGCGCCACTGCTACTGCTATTGTGGCAAGGCCAATGCACTAACTTTCCGATTCCCCGGCGGGAAATTACTTGCCACTATCCTCTAAGCTAAGAACCTCGAGAATCCGTTAATTATCGCAGTTAATTAGTTGCTTCCTTATATTCCCATATTCTAGAACGCCACTAGTAGAGGTCCCGGCTTCCCCGCTAGCAATTGCCGGGTGATCCAACAACAATATATTCCTGGGTTGACTCCGTGAGGGCGGTCCCCCAGGTTTGTTCCGCCGGCTGTCGGGACATTTTTCTTGACCGTGACTGTGAGGGAGAATCGGGCTGGAGAGGGGGCAGGGGGGTATTTGCGAGAACCATTTTTTAGAAAACCCCTATTGGGCAGATGTCGTGCCCACGGCTAGGGGTTAGCTGGGCAGAGTAGTTCTGTCGGGAGAGGGCGAGGAGGATGTGAGGGGGCATTTTTTTTCTCTCCATCGATGTGCTTTTGCCTTGTCCCTTGTCCTTCACTTTACAGTATACCTTTCACTCCCGTTGAAAAATAAAAATCAGCTGGTTGACACGGAATTCGGAAGACAGTTGGGAGACTGTGGTCGGGTAGGGTAAATTAGGGCTTAGTCAAACCATAGAAGTGTGGGAATAGGTGATTGTGGTTAGGGATCTAAGCTGAAGCCGTGCGCAGTCAACGTCCCGCTTGCCGAGTTTCGTTTAAGCATGCCGGTAGGGGCGAAGAAAGTTGGTAATGAGGTTCGGTAGGAAGAGTGCGGTGAGAGCTTATGCGGCAACTTAGCCCATGATTGAGAGGCCCTAAGTTATGATTTCCGGGATGGCGAAAGTGGGGGCTCAAGAGATAGTAACTTACCTCAGGAGTGGGTTTGAGAACGAGGGTAGCATCCGGGTTCGTCATCAGCGGAAATAGAGGGATGAAAGACGAGTTTTACTTGAACGGGAGGTTCTGAACTCTCTGGCTGTGTTCTTTTCCTCCCTTTTAGCTATCGCTTCTCATCATTGAATCATCGACATAGGTAGGGAAATAAGCGGGCCCCAAGTCTACCTGGTCCTTTCCGCTACTATCATCTTCAATGGAACCCTTCGGTGAGTTTTTTGCATGAACACGTTGGGATCCGGGAGGGAGTGATAGTTGAGATGTGTGGCTGGGACAGCTAATACTATCTCGCATATTACTTAAGACGGCTACGATACCTCAGGGGACCTCGGGAAGCATAAGGTAATTGAGGTATTAATTTATGATACCATGACGCGAGTGGAGTGCACTTTCTTTGTCCACCTCAGTCCCGCCTAGAGCCGATGCCAGAAGGGTTAGGGTTTTGACTTATTGCCAAATTTGATGCAGAATTTGCGATAAGCTTTCTTGATTCTGTGAGCTATGTGAATCTGCGGCTAGACGAAATTTTAGGATATAATTGTGGGGTGCGCCCACCCCCCCTTGAGTCTTGAATGCTATTATTTTCAAGCACCCCAGTATTTTCGAAGAAACCACAGCTAAAGAAAAGTTGAAACAAATCTTGACCCTACCGGTGTAAAGTTTTGCTGAGAAGAAAACATCCTCAAGGTCCATGTCTCACTTGCAAGTATGCTGTATTAGAGATAGTATGAGATACTCTCCTCCCCATACAGCTATAAATCCCCGCCGAGTTGTCCACCCTCTGTTGAGATATCTCCAGTCAGCCATCACGGCAACAGAAGACAAAGGAGAAAAGGAAACCCCAAGGAAAAAACAGACCCCTGCAAAAATGGCACCGAGGGCTGAAGAAAAAGCTCAATCTCTCGTCTCTACACTTCCAATCTCCTTAATAGTCACCATACTAAAATCGTTCACCACCGCGGCAGCTGCAAGAGAATACATGGCCACCCACAACCTCAACACCCTGGAAGCGCTAGAACCCCACCTCCCATCAATCTTCTACGACATCCAAACTACCGAACGAGGGCGTGCGCTCCAAATCCTCTCGCGGACTCTCATCAACTGCCAAAACCACCTCTACCTCAACCCTCAGACAAAATCACTCCCATTTCCACCTTGCGACGTGACCACCCCCCCACCGCAATCCCACGCCACCCCCGAAGCAGACCAAGAAAACTGGGACATACTATCCTCCTGCCTGCAAATCCATACGGATATCCTTGGCTCGCCCCTAACCTTGCAACAATCGACAAGCCTCCTCCGCAGGCACTTCCATTTTTGGCTCCTCCTCCTCGCATGCGTTCCGGAAGTCGAGGAGATTGCGGAGGACTTGCGGAGGCTTGAGACATTGCCTGGTGGACACCCGTTGGAGACATATCTTGAGCTGAACGATAGGTACACCGACGAGGAGAAGGCGGAGTTTTATGTGAGGAGGTACCTGAGGGTCAGACCTTACTTTTTGTGGTTGAGGAGGCAGGGGGTTGGAGGTGTTGAGGGGTTGAATGTCGAGGGGGAGACTGGGGGCACGATATTGGGGGCTGTGGGCATTCGTGGAGCGGATGCGTTGGGCGGGTTGGAGAGGGCCAGGGAGGTTTTGCTGGCGGTGGCGAGGGCACATGTGGGGTTTACGGCTGGGCTTTGGGGGGAAGAAAGCGGGTGATGGGGTGCAGGATTGGGTGAGGGGCACGGAAGGCAAACCTTGAGGTTTTATGTTTTATTCTCGGATTCCCAATGTTATCTTTTCAGAATAATAATTAGAGCAACTAGCTTTCTGCCTAAATGTCCAAGGATGTACATTCTTTGCGTTTTTAGTATCGTGCGTGCAATCTATAAGGAAAACCAGTGGCGTTGCAAAATGTAAGGCCTTACATAGTCGGAAATAAGGGTAATTTGTACCCGTACATAATATTATTTAGTCTGATATTATGTAGGTTCGTGTGCACTGTAATCTTGGAAATAGAACCCTAACCCTTACTGACGGGATATGCACATTCCCGATACTTGCGAGCGGCCACGCTTGTATCAGCAAGGGGACGAGCACGGGTCTGGTGTGTCGCTGCCTATTGTGCAGTGAGTTCAGCAGCTACCCCAGATCTACCCCGTATCAAAATGCCACAATAGTATCATAGTGTGACGTAGACTATTATTTAATCCTCGGCAATGCCATTTGAGTAATTCCAAATCCTCCCCTCAAGCGTGATTCCAAAAGGGCACCGGCAATCGCTAAAGCCTTGTTGCTGACTCGGTCGGTTGTGGGAATCCTCTCAGGGACGGTACACGCACCTTTACCCCCCATCCGCCTCGTCGTCCACATCCCGCACCGTAGAATACTCGCCCACTGTAGTTCGTCTCCGGGTAAGCAAAATAGGATAGCTCGCCGGCCCGCTCTGCAGGAGGCCCAAACGCGGCCAAAAGACCCTAAAATTGCTCCCACGTAAGGGAGCGTTCCCGCAGCCCAGCAGCTACAACACCCATACCCGCACCCCTGGATACCTAGTAGCGTAAGTTAGGGGCTCCTTAGAGGGAGTATCCCCCAAAGCCTCCGCCACCTCTATGGCTGTTCCCACTTTGGGGGGACTTCCAAAATTAAGGGTTAGGCACCGGTACGGCTGGGATCGACCAGGACTGCTTGGTCCAAGACTGATAATGAGATCTTCCCCGCACTTCCTTACCTCGTTTAGATCAAGACAGCGCATAACCTAACTGTTTTCAACCTCAAGGGTTACGGCAGCGGTTTGGATACTGTTGACTTGAATTGTATGGCTAGACAATGATGCAAAGATCGTATTTAATGTCCTAACCGGAGAAATATTCTCACGAAGAAAATAGGCAATGAAACGGAACGAAAGGCAGATTGACCCAAATACTGGTAACGAAGGAAAGAGAGAGAGAAATTGGATGATAAACGAAAACAACTAACAAAGAGAAGACAGGCTACCTTTTATCCTCTCTAGGTCGCCCAGATCCTTTTCTACATACTTCTAGTGTATGCCGTGTTCTCTCTCACATTCAACTTCTCCGGCTCCCATTTGCCACTCCTGCCGAGGATGGGATGATTTGACCGAGGGTAAGAGTAATGAGACTAGCTTTAAGCGATACAGTAAACTTAGGGTTCAGGGTATCGA